AAGTAGAAGTAGCAAGACGTACCTGAAATCCTTCATGTTTATGAGACAGAAAAGAGACACCAGCAATCCTACCATCATGTAAAACCAATACAGGCTTTCATTTTACACTCACTTGGCAGTATGGTAGTACCTTCCTGGGCAGTTGCTGTCTACCAACCTACTACCTAGCAAAGTATAATTATCAGAGTACAGTGGTACCTTGACTTGCGAGTGCCCCAAGTTACGAGTTTTCCAAGTAACGAGCCGTTACTCTGTCGATTTTTTGCTTCGAGTTGCAAGCCAAAATCAGTTATGAGCGAGCTTCAGATATGCTGCCAATTAGTAGTGGCATATCTGGAGTCAAATCCAACTCTGGGTACAGAGGAATGCCAGGTACTTCCTCCCATCCCACATGCACTTCCAAGACATACCTGGAAGGATAATACTCGCACACTACTCCCAGATTGTAGTGAGGCACCTCGTCACTTGTTTGGTTTTTGTATAAATCCGGGGAATAGGTAACCTCCATTTCAACACTCAGTTTTTCCAGAAACATTAAATTAAGATAGGTGGAGTACTGATAGTGGTGGGCGTAGTAGCCATGGTGGTGGGCGTAGTAGCCATGGTGGTGGGCGTAGTAGCCATGGTGGTGGGCGTAGTAGAAATGGTGGTGGGTGGAGTAGTGAAGTTGGTGGGTGGAGTACTGAAGGTGGTGGGTCGAGTAGTGATAATGGTGATTGTAGCAGAGATAATAGTGGGTGGAGTAGACAGGGTGGGGATGGAGTAGTGAAGGTGGTGGGTAGAGTATACAATATTTCTTATTTATAAGTACATTTTTCTTATTTAAAAATTAGTAACAAAAAAATTGGGGCGTTTTTCTGGGGCTGGAACAGACTAACTGCATATCAGTTAATTTCAATGACGAAAACTGATTTGACATACGAGCAAATTGAGTTACGAGCTTGGTCACAGAACGAATTAAACTCTTAAGTCAAGGTACCCCTGTATATTTAACCCTTAAACTGTCCAAACGTAGATCTACATTTTTTTCAACATTTGAAAGTATGTAAAAAAAAAATAGATCTTCTTTGTTTTTTACATTTGAAAATGTGTAAAAAAAACTGATCTACTTTTAGAGCACTACGCATGTGAACATAGATCTGTTTGGACAGTTTAGGGGTTAAACATGAAATAACTAACCCTTCCAGGGTCCAGAGGCCAAATTTCGAAGTGTGCACCAGGGTCCAAGAATTTTAAAAAAAAAAAAAAATCTTATGAAATAGTAGAGAATCTTTCTGAAGGTAATACGACAAAAAGTACGAAATTTGATGGAAAATTGACGAAATTATGCTCTCACGAATTTTGATGTGTTGGCAATATTTACGAATCGGCGATTTTGCCAACTTTCACTCCCGTTTTAGGCCAATTACATTATTCCAATCGACCAAATTCTTAGCTATTTCACTAGTATTACTTCTATTCTATCGATTGAGCACAAGAAATCGCCAAGTCAACTGTTTCAACTATACAAAATAAAGTGATCGGAAATTGGTAATTTGGCCAATTTAACACAAAGTTCAAAATATTCCAATTTCAAAATAGTGTCCAGAATAAACAATGTAGGCATTCCTGGCACTAAACTAACATTTCCTCTGTTCATTAGTTATGTTTTCAGGCTTTACAAATGAACTCCATTTTGATTTTTTATACACAATGAATTTTTATTCAAACCAAAAAAAATAAAAGATTAACTGTTATGCAATATTGTAATAATTGTATAAATATCACCACATTTGTGAATGTATATCAGACCCACCAGCTGGCGTGTATTAGACGTATGAGGTCATTTGTTTACTCTTGAACACTGGCAAAAATTTAACATTTCCGCTACTTTGAGCTCAGTTTCAAGCCATTTTCAGTGCTAAAACCAATCAAAATCATCTCCATTTCTGAAATGTGTCTTCCATTCTATCAAATGAGACCAAGAAATCGCAAATACAACTATAAAACACATAAGAAAAAACTGCAAAGTCGCTGTTTTAATAAAAAATCACAATCTCAGAATTTTTCATCTCATTATACACTGTGCTGCAGGATTTGTTTTATGTGGTGCACACATACCACATAGATGTATTCTCTCATATCTAAGCCCAATTTTACCACTCACAGCTCATCAGAGTGAGCTGAGCTCATGGCGTAGATCTACGGTTTGGACCCTGAAAGGGTTAAAACCCTTGAAATTTTGTAAAGTTTCCATACATAATGGAGAGACGCGGTGCTCACAGAGAATTTAAACAAACTAGGTGGGGCGCAGTGACTATTAGAAAGTCAGATGAGGGGAGCCGTATAGCGAGTTTTTGTCATAATTTGAAATGTCCATATTAGCGGAATGCCATATAGCACGGGGGCCCCTACTGTATGTCTTGCATTCTATCAATTGATACCAGAAAACAGAATAAACCATAAAAACCATCCAAAAATACAAGTCATTTTCACCCATATACAAGGTCAGTTTTGTTTTTCCCATCATGCACTGTGGAGGCTAGGTTTCTTTTTATATGGTGAACGCTCACAACACACACACACACAACAACGCACACAACGCACACAACGCACACAACGCACACAACGCACACAACGCACACAAACGCACACAACACACACAACACAACACACACAACACAACACACACAACACAACACACACAACACACACACACACACACAACACACACAACACAACACAACAACACAACACACACAACACAACACACACAACACACACAACACAACACACACAACACAACACACCACAACACAACACACACAACACAACACAACACACACAACACAACACACACAACACAACACAAACACACACACAACACACACACAACACAACACAACACAACACAACACAACACAAACACAACACACACAACACACACAACACAACACACACAACACACACAACACACAACACAACACACAACACAACACACAACACAACAACAACACAACACACACACAACACACACACACACATACACACAACACACACACAACATACACACAACACACACACCACACACAACACCTCATATCTATGCCAAAACTTACCGCTAACAACTTACCTAAGTGAGCCAAGCTCACAACATAATACTACATGACGGACCCTGAGCTCAAAGCTGTGATACTATGGCATAAGCCATGAAAGGGTAACTACGTCAAGCATTATTTTTGCGCTCCAAATCAATAGTGATTTGGGTTGTGCCATTCCAAAAAGTTTGTAGTTTGGCATCTCATCACTATTGGAGACTTATGATTTATAATGTTAAAGCTACTAATCTAATTTTGGGTTGGTGCTCTATTGCCGCCTCCATGCCAAGGAGATGTGTGCGAACCAAAGCTTCTGTTATGTCCCCTGTACCTTTGATATACCTTCGAAGAGTTTCTAGAGTATCTACTCTCGAAGTCCGGTCATGGGCCAGGCTCGTCTGGTGCTTGCCCGGTCAACCAGGCTGTTGCTGCTGGAGGCCCGCTGCCCCACATATCCATCACAGCCTGGTTGGTCTGGCACCTGGTGAAGATACTTGTCCAGTTTCCTCTTGAAGGCTTCTACACCTGTTCCAGCAGTGTTTCTGATATCTTCTGGTAAGATATTGAAAAGTCTGGGACCCCGGATGTTAATACAGTGTTCCCTTATTGTCCCCACCGCACCCCTGCTCCTTACTGGGTTTATTTTACACTTCCTCCCATCTCTCTCACTCCAGTATGTTGTTATGGCAGTGTGCAGATTTGGGACCAAGCCCTCTAGTACCTTCCAGGTATATATTATCATGTACCTCTCTCTCCTCCGCTCCAATGAGTACAAGTTCAAGACTTACGGGCATTCCCAGTAGTTTAGGCGCTTTACAGGCTCAATTTGAGCCGTAAACGATCTCTATTTGTTCCAGCTCCGATATTTCTCCTGCCTTCAACGGGGCCGTCAGTACTTAGCAATATTCTAAGTGAGGTAGCACTAGCAATTTGAAGAGTGGTCACAGACCGGGCCACGGGGGCGTTGACCCCTGGAACTCTCTCCAGTTAAAACTCCAGGTATTGGCATTATTTCCCTTGTTTTGAAAGTTCTCAATACTCACCCCATCATATTTCTGGCTGTCGTGATCTGTGTCTTGTTAGGATCTTTAAAAGAAAGGTCCGCTGACATAATTATTCCTAGGTCTTTTACGTGTTCTTTACGTTTTATTTGGTGACCCTCTTGAGTTTTGTACATAGTGCTCCTTTTGAGTTCTTCATTCTTTCCATACCTAAGCAGCTGGAACTTATCACCATTGAATGTCATGTTATTCTCCACTGCCCACTGGAAAACCCTGTATGTCTTCCTGTACTTTTTCAGTGTCCTTTTACCCTACTGACTCTCATGCTTATTTTAGTGTCATCTGCAAAGGATACAAAAGTGTGCCGTGTGTTTTCGTCTATGCCTACTTTTTGTGTTGTGTGTGTTAGGAAACTGAAAATCCATCTGCCTACCCTCTAGGTTCTTTCTACAAAGGATACTGAGAACTCGCATCAAAGGAATTTTGCACTTTTTCACAAACAAGGACTTCCAGGAATCCACAAATGGATACACTTTCCATTCCTATTCTCCAGGATTATTGCTTATGTCTGTTACATGATCAGCAATAGCCTTTAGAGGTAATGAAAAAAAATTCTGAATTCTCCACCATGCTTTCATTTAGTGAGCTGCGAAGCTTTTATTCACACTGGTCTCCAGAAATTACTCTTCTGTGTCAGTAACTAAACCTGTTGCAATTAATGGTCTAAATTTACAGAAATTTCTCGACTTGGATTTTGCACATTTGAAGAAATATTTAATTTCTTGCAGTATCCAAGACAACTTTGTTTCCAACTCAATACAATCTTAATGTAGATCAGATTTTCAACTTCACCATAATCACTAACAAAAATAAAGGTCAGCTTTAAACCTCTTCAGTTCGATGATTAAGTTCTTCCTCCAACATTGATCCAATGACCTTTTCTTTTTGTGTTCATACTAAGATCAAAAACAGTAGATTCTAGGAGAGAGATTTTAGAACGTTGTTGACTTGCTTCATCCTGAAGACTGGAGAGTGTTTGTTCGTATTCAGTGATCTGTGGATTACAATATTTTAAGTACTATAACTATTACATATGTTGCATTCTAGTATAAATCTAAATTAATTTAGCAAATACATGGGGAAAGGGAAAGAAATTTACATAAAATTTGAGCCTCAGATTCACCACTGAAGCTAAAATGACGAGTCAAACGTTGTTCAATGTTATTACCTCTAATAATAAACAAAAGTCATTAGGGGTGAAGAACAAACATTCTAATTTAGTGAAAAAATGTTAGGGTTAATAAGCAAAAGTGACAGTGCAGGATTGGAAGGAAAAAAAAAATTACTAACATGTAGTGATGTAAAAATCAGGTAAAGTCCAAAAAGCTAACAACAGAACCAGACCAAATTTAACCTTTGAACTGTCCAAACATACATCTACATTCAATTTTACATGCTTTATGTAAAAAGAAAACATAGATCTACGTTCGGAGTGCTATGCGAGTGAACGTAGAACTATGTTCGGACAGTTTAAGGGTTAAATGTCCAGGATATGTATTACAACCTGCTAATCCAGATTACAATCACCCTTTCTAGTCATGTACTTTTAGTCACCATTTTTTTTAACACCCCCCTACCCCCCATATACACTATTTCAAATCAGTACAGCAGCTGTTTTAAATACACTGAGTTTTGCTACATAATCACTACATTTAATATTCTTATATACAGAATTTAATCAGTAAAACATGGCAGCATTCAGATATTCTATAACATTCAGCATCAAATAGTTAAACACTTTCAGGGTCCGTGCCAGAATATCACGCTTTGAGTTCAGGGTCTGTGCCCTAATATTAGGTATAAATTTTAGAGGCTTCAAATTTAGCACAAGAGGACTGGTAGGCCTACATATGAGAATGAGTCTTTGTGGTCAGTGCGTGCAGAATAAAAAATAATTGGGGTTCCCACACTGCATTATGGGAGAGCACCATTTCATACCCTCTGCTCACAATGCCTCGCTATTGACAACACCTCACTCCCAGGAGAATTGGGAATCTCTTCCCAAGTGATAACTTTAACCCCTTCAGGGTCGAGAGGCCCTCTCCTAAACTTGTTCTCGGGGTTGCCCAAATTTTTCGGAAAAAAACAAATTATTTTTTCTTATGAAAAGATAGAGAATCTTTTCCCAATCATAATGACACCAAAAGTATGAAATTTGATGGAAAACTTACGGAATTATGCTCTCACAAATTAGCGATCTCGACGATGCTTACGCATCGGCGATTTTCGCCCAATTTGAGACCTATTTTCGGCCAATTCCAGTGTACTAGTCAACAAAAATTGTAACTTTCATAAGAACTCTATTTTTTCTATCGAATGAGAACAAGAAACCACCCATTTACCAATTTCAACTATCCAATAAAGTGGTCAGAAATTAGCAATTTTGCCAATTTCACACAAATTTCATAAGATGCCAATTTTAAAACGGGGTCCAGAATAAACAAGACAAGACAATCCTGGCACTAAAATAACATTTCCTCTGTTTATCAGTCACGTCCCCAGGCCCCTCTTACATTTCTTTTGCTTTCCACTTTGAGTTTTTATTCTTACAAAAAGTAGAAGATTTGCTGTTATGCAGACTGCTGCATTGGTGTAGAAATGGTATAAATAATATCAGCGTACTTGTGAAAGAATATTAGACTCACCAGTTGACGTTTATTGGACACGTGGCATGATTTGTTTACTTTTGAACTTTGGCAAAAATTGAATATTTCTGCTACTTTGAGCTCAATTTCAAGGTACTTTTCATTGTGAAACCAATCAAAATCATCCCAATTTCTGTAATATGTCTTCCATTCTATAAAATAAGACCAGGAAAACTAGAATACAACAATAAATACCATACGAAAATACAGTGCAAATTCGCTGTTTTAAACCAAAAACACTGTCAAAGTTGTTGTTTTTCTCATTACGCACTGTGTGCTGCAGGATTTTCTTAATACTGTGCACACTGACCACAGACCCATTCTTTCGTATGTAGGCCTACCAGCTTTCTCTTGCTAGATTTGAAGGCACTAGAATTTAGGCGTGCTAGTAAGTCAATAACCCTGGTGCGTAAGCTGTACTAGTACGTCAAACCCTGAAAGAGTTAATGAGGAATATGTAAGTGATGATGAGTTGGATGATTTTGAACATTTAGTCAGAGTGACTCAACATACCAGAAATATTGCTAGAAACCCCGATGACCTTCAACCATCCACTTCTCAGGCTGGTCCATCTGGAACCCGACAAGTTTTACAACGCAATACGAAAGCAAGTTTATTTAGGTATAGGTACAAATAAGCACAACTATCATAGTGTAAATTACCTAGAATAACCCAAAAAGAGTAGGAATTTTTTTTTAGTTTTTTTTTTTTTTTTAACAAGTAGGCCGTCTCCCACCAAGGCAGGGTGACCCAAAAAGAAAAATTCCCCAGAAGGAAAATACTTCCATCATCATTCAACACTTTCACCTCACTCACACATAATCACTGTTTTTGCAGAGGTGATCAGAATACAACAGTTTAGAAGCATATATGTATAAAGATACACAACATATCCCTCCAAACTGCCAATATCGCAAACCCCTCCTTTAATATGCAGGCATTGTACTTCCTATTTCCAGGACTCAAGTTCGGCTATATAACAATAACCGTTTTCCCGGAATCCCTTCACTAAGTATTACCCTGCTCACACTCCAACAGCTTCTCAGGTCCCAAATACCATTCATCTCCATTCACTCCTATCTAACATGCTCATTTATGGCACTGTAAAGCTGAAGATGTTCCAAACAGACCAGTCCGAGAAGTTTATGGCTGAGCATCATTGAGGTTTTCAGCAATATTTCCATCATTCTGAGTATCATTTTCGGTCACTAAATATTTAAAACCATTGCTTCCATATTCCTCATTGTAAGAACCATCACTTGGGAAACGTGTGTCCAATTTTTCTTCTGTCATTAGACAAATAATAGCCGAACACTAGGTCACAACACCTGCAGTACACCACCACGCTTAAACTGATCACCAAATACCCTCTTGTATGCAGCATGGCAATTACTTCCCAACAACACTTCCAACTACTGAGCAGTAGTTTGCTCAGAAGACATGTTTTGTCTGTGCACATAAAGCACGATGCCCATGAAAAATGTAGACACACATTTTGTGTGTGAAGAGTGTAACACCACTGTGTATAACACTGTTTCAGAAGAATTCCACAGACTACAACAGTCCCAGGAACATGTCCAGGACCTGTATATATGCATTTAAATGTTAGAATAGTAATAATGTGAAACATTTTTACTTGTGTTTGTTGTTTTGTTAAGTTTTGTAAACAATATACTGATGACATCACAGCAATTAACATGTTGCACACAATAAGTGTATATATATGCAATGTGCATTATATGGGAATATCACAGGTCATGAAAGTTACTGGAAAATGTAAAGTATTAGAAAACCACAGAGAACAATGTACAAGAAAAATAAAACAGAGAGCATGGTAGTTGCTGATTTCACCCCAAGTCAGTCATAGACCATCAACTTTACACCACTATACCTTAAGTACTGATAGAATTTTTTTTTTTTTATTACCACCAGTAAAATATACTCTTGAAATCTACAGGTGTAAACAATGATGGGGGCCTTTGATTGAACTTTATATATAAGGATTTAGTATTTGGTGGGAGATGGCCGACTTGTGGGGAAAAAAAAAAAAAAGTACAGTGGAACCTCTACTCATGACTTTAATCCGTTCCATGACCTTGCTCGCAACTGGACTTGCTCATTTGCAGAGTCAATTTTCCTCATTTAAATTAATTGAAATGGAATTAATTCGTTCCAGTGGAATTCCATGCACGAGAAAATTTCCCTAACATCAACTCTACAGCTTATTTATCTATCACAATTCATGTAATATGACATAATAAACAATATTAATATCATCGAAACATGATATATACACTAGAATGAATAAAATACATGTCATTAGGTATGTGGCTAGTGGTGGTGACAGCAGCCATTGTTGTTGTTGGGGTTTATAGGGCCACCACAGCGGCCATTCCTGCTCCTTACTAGAGAACCTAGAGAACCTAGGATAACCCAAAAAAGTCAGAGTGACTTATAAGTGCTACACTCTTAATGCTACACTTAATTGTTACACTTTGCCACTGCTGCTTCATGTTGTCTGCCACTGCTACCTCATGTTGTCTGCCACTGCTACCTCATGTTGTCTGCCACTGCTACCTCATGATGTCTGTCACTGCTACCTCATGATGTCTGTCACTGCTGCTTCATGTTGTCTGCCACTGCTACCTCATGTTGTCTGCCACTGCTACCTCATGTTGTCTGCCACTGCTACCTCATGATGTCTGCCACTGCTACCTCATGATGTCTGCCACTGCTACCTCATGTTGTCTGCCACTGCTACCTCATGTTGTCTGCCACTGCTATCCTCATGTTGTCTGCCACTGCTACCTCATGATGTCTGCCACTGCTACCTCATGATTCTGCCACTGCTACCTCATGATGTCTGCCACTGCTAACCTCATGATTGTCTGCCACTGCTACCTCATGATGTCTGCCACTGCTACCTCATGATGTCTGCCACTGCTACCTCATGATGTCTGCCACTGCTACCTCATGATGTCTGCCACTGCTACCTCATGATGTCTGCCACTGCTACCTTCATGATGTCTGCCACTGCTACCTCATGATGTCTGCCACTGCTACCTCATGATGTCTGCCACTGCTACCTCATGATGTCTGCCACTGCTACTCATGATGTCTGCCACTGCTACCTCATGATGTCTGCCACTGCTACCTCATGATGTCTGCCACTGCTACCTCATGATGTCTGCCACTGCTACCTCATGATGTCTGCCACTGCTACCTCATGATGTCTGCCACTGCACCTCATGATGTCTGCCACTGCTACCTCATGATGTCTGCCACTGCTACCTCATGATGTCTGCCACTGCTACCTCATGATGTCTGCCACTGCTACCTCATGATGTCT